ACTGCTTTGGCCAGATATGCTCTGTAGTTGGTGAGTACTTTTGCTGAGAAGTGCTATAGATTTCTTAGGGGACTACGAGATAGTCTGAGGCAACCCCTAGTACCGTTTCATATTTTTGATTTCTCTGAGTATGTGGAGAGAGCTCGTCTGATAGAGAACGATCTGATGGCTACTCAGCAGCGGTAGTCTGCTAGTAGGAAGAGGTTTAGTAGTGATGCTTATGATAGTGATTTTCTGGGAAGAAGAACAGATTTGTTTCTGGAGACTCCAAGAGGAGTGGATAGTCAGGGTCCACTACAATGTTTGGTAGTGGCAGCGTGACTAGTTCTGGGTCAGTCAGTGGGGCACCTGTGTGCCAAACTTTTGGACGACGATATTTTGGCCAGTATTACAGGATGACTAGTGCACCGAAGGAACTTGCGGAGTTGAAAGTTCAACTCCAGGAGTTAGTGGATAGAGGATTTATTTGTCCTAGTGTTTCTCCTTGGGGATCACCTGTTCTGTTTATGAAGAAGAAGGATGGGACAATGCGTATGTGTGTTGATTTCAGAGATCTGAATAAAGTCACAATCAAGAATAAGTATCCATTGCCACGGATTGATGATTTGTTTGATCAGATTGCTGGATATTCTGTCTTCTCAATGATTAATTTAAGATCTGGATAATATCAAGTGAAGGTGAGAGAAACTAATGTGATGAAGACAGCTTTTAGTACTCGGTACGGGCACTATGAGTTTTTGGTTATGCCATTTAGGGTAACCAATGCACCGGCTATTTTTATGGATCTGATGAACAGAGTATTCAAGGAGTACCTGGTTCAGTTTATGATCATCTTTATAGATGATATTTTGGTATTTTCTGCTTCTGAGGAAGATCATGCCAGACATTTGGGAAGGGTGTTGGAGACTTTGAGGCAACACAAATTATATGTTAAATTCTCCAAGTGCGAATTCTGGCTGAAGAGCATTTCTTTTCTGGGGCATGTGATGAGTGGTGAAGGTATTTCTGTTGATCCCTAAAAAATCAAGCTATTGCCAATTGACCAAGGCCTACTACGGTATTTAAGATACGTAGTTTCTTGGGTATGGCAGGATATTATAAAAAATTTGTGAAAGGGATTTTCTCATATTTTTGCACCTCTGACAAGACTGACTCAGAAGTCAGCAGCTTTTGTTTGGACACGGGAGTGTGAAGCTAGTGTTCAGAGATTGAAGGAGACTTCTGCTCCAGTATTAGCACTTCCATCTGGTACGAAAGGATTTCAGGTATTCAGTGATGCTTCACTGAAAGGTTTGGGTTGTGTTCTGATGTAGTATGGTCAGGTAATTGCTTATGCTTCGAGACAGTTGAAACCATATTAAAAGAATTACCTGACGCATGATTTGGAATTGGTTACTGTTGTATTTACTTTGAAGATTTAACGTCATTACTTGTATGACATCAGGTGTCAGATATTCATGGATCATAAGAGTTTGAAGTATATATTCACTCAGAAGGATCTGAATTTGAGGCAAAAATGATGACTTGAGTTGATCAAGGACTATAATCTGAAAATTCAGTATCAGCCTGGTAAGGCTAATGTGGTAGCAGATGCTCTGAGCAGGAAATCCTCTGTACTATCATGTGTTCAGCTCACTTCTGATGAGTATCTGATACGAGATATAGAAAGATTACAGTTAGAGGTGATTTCCTCTACTGGTTCGGATTATGGTGTTTTGACTCAGATGAACATTCAGTCTTTTTTGGAAGAGAGGATTCATGAAGCTCAGAAGTCAAACTCTGAATAATTGAAGTTGATTGCTCAGATTGAATCTGGTAAGAAACCTGAACTACGACTTTCTGATTATGATATTATTTTTTATAAGAACAGATTGTGGGTTCCTATGTTTAGAGATCTTAGGAAAGAGATTATACACGAATCTCATTATTCAGGCTATACTATTCATCCAGGAAGTGGTAAGATGTACGGAGATATAAAAAGTTTGTTTGGTGGCTTGGAATGAAAAAGGACATAGCGGAATTTGTTTCGAAATGCGAAGCCTGTCAGGTAGTCAAGGCAGAGCATCAACGATCAGGAGGTCTTTTGTAGTCGTTGCCTATCCCTGAGTGGAAGTGGGAGGAGGTAACGATGGATTTTGCTATGGGTTTTTCTTGATCAAGGAAAGGGCATGATTCTATTTGGGTGATTGTCGATCGATTGACGAAGTCTGCACATTTTTTTCCGATTAGAAAGATGGATCCGGTGGATAAGTTAGCTCAGCTATATGTTAAAGAAATTGTCAGATTGCACGGTGTGCCAAAAGTTATTGTATCTGATCAAGATGGACGGTTTACTTCCAGACTTTGGAAGGGTATTCAGCAAGGATTGGGTACGAAGTTGCGTTTCAGTACAACTTTTCATCCGCAGACTGATGGACAGTCTGAAAGGACTATTCAAGTACTGGAAGATCTTCTAAGATAATGTGTTCTGGATTTTGGAGGCAGTTGGAAAGATCACATCCCTTTGATAGAATTTGCTTATAATAACAATTATCAGTCCAGTATTGGTATGACACCTTATGAAGCCCTATATGGCAGAAAGTGTACAACTCCTTTGACTTTGACTGAAATGGGAGATAGATAAGAGATGGGTTCAATTTTTGTGGATGAATCTGTTATGAAAATCAATCTGATTAAAGAAAGATTGAAAGCTGCACAAGACAGACAACAGAAGTATTACAATCAAAAGCACAGACTGGTTGAATTTCAGGTTGGCGACTTTGTGTATCTCAAAGTCAGTCCGATGAAAGGCGTCAGCAGATTTGGAAGAGTGAGAAAGCTCAATCTAAGGTATGTCGGACCTTTTGAAATCATCGAAAGGATTGGAAATTCTGCTTATAAATTGTTATTATCTGATCATATGTCTGATATACATAACATGTTTCATGTATCCTATTTGAGAAAGTGGATATCTGATTCTGAAAAGAAACTTTCTGCTGATGATATGGAGATTCAGAAGAATCTGCAGTACAAAGAAGAGCCTGAAAAGATTTTAGCTTATGATGTGCATAAGTTGAGAAGTAAACAGATTCTTATGGTTAAGATTCAGTGGAAACACAGAACAACAAGAGAGGCTACTTGGGAGAAGGAGTCAGATATGAGACAGTTATATTCGCATCTGTTTTGACTCAGTTTTGTTTTGGAAATATCGAGGACGACATTGTTCTGAAGGTGGGGAGATTGTGAAAGCTAGTTTTCTTATTTTTCCTTCCAGGATCATCCAAGATGAAGTGGGATCATCCTGGGACGATCAGTACAGGATCTGTGAACTCGGAGGTTCGTCCCAGGATGAAATTTGGTCCATCCGTACGAAGGTTGTCCAGAGAACAAGTTGTCCATAAACGAATACACTTCGTCTAAACGAAGCTTATCAAGAGGGCAAATCGTCCTGGGATGAATAGGATTCGTTGCGTACGATCTGCATGTGTATATATTGGATTGAGATATTTTTGAAGAGAGAGAAAAGCCTAGGAGAGAGAAAAATGAAGGAAAAAGGAGAAAAAGTGGATTTTGGGTGACGTCGGTCCATTTTCGTCCGTCGTCGTAGTCGAAAAAGTCGACCGACTCGAGGTAAGGCACATTCCGCCTATTTCAATTTTCAGAAATCTAAGTTTTGACAACTTTTCGGTTTCAAATTCGATTTCCGTTAGCGAAAATATGGTATCATTTTGTTCTAGTAAACTTTTTACTGTGTAACTTTTGATATGTTCCTGAGACAATATTTTTACATGTTTTGAATATTTTTTGGAAGATTTTCACCGGGTATTTTGAATTTTACGAAGTTTTTATCTAATGGCGAATTATCTGAATGTTGAAAAATATTTCATCAGTACAATAATGAAATTATATGGGTCAGGGAATCTGGAAATAAGTTCTATTTCAAAAATTTTGTATATTTGACAAATTCTGGTGCTGTAAGCACAGGGGAGGCATAAGGGGCCAGAATCCGTTGAGATTCTATCAGGGTCCGGGAATATGATATGTGATATCTGATATGTGAAATGTGATTTTATCTAATTTATACGATTCTATATGTTCTGTACGATTCTGTTTGTTCTGTGCGATTCTGTCTGTTCTGTGAAATCTGACATGAATATTTTGTTACATGAAATGAATTCCATTTGTGATTTGATTTCTGTTTGATCAAGTATCTGTATTCTGTCTGCTTATACAATTTATGCACGATTATGTGAATTATGTACGGCTACTCTTCTGATATATTTTCTGATGTGTGTTTCTGGAGATTTTGATTTATTAGTTCAGTCTTGCTGAGCTGTTAGCTCATCCTTATTATCTGCGTGGTTTTTAGGTTCTGGGAAAGGGAAGGAAGTCTTGGACTAGTCGTTCAGTGTCTGATCAGTGATTAGGTATTTTATACTTTTGATTTTTGTACAGTCATGGCCTTTCTATTATGTTCTTCCTATCTGTATCCATGCACTGTATTGTACATGATTATTTTGATGAATGAAGAAATATAGATGAACTGTTATGTATATTTGATGTTTATAGTAGCTCTGTTTTTTCTGTAAGTTTGATATTTGGAAGAAAGTCTGAAGCAAATTCCAAAGCTAGATCCTTAATATTTTCAATTCCGTCGCGGCCCGACGCGAATGGATTCATTCCAGTCGAGTTGGGTCGTGATAACTGTGAGACCTCGTTCCCTTACTGTTCCTCTCTGATTTGGATTTTTCCTATCAGGATCGTCCAGGACGATTGGAAATCGTCCAGGCCGATCGGCACTGTAGAAAATATCGGCCTGAGAATAGTTCTGGGAACCGTCCAGGACGATTAAGATTATGTGTTATGGATTTTAGAGGCAGTTGGGAAGATCACATCCCTTTGATAGAATTTGCTTATAATAACAATTATCAGTCCAGTATTGATATGAAACCTTATGAAGCCTGTATGGCAGAAAGTGTAGAACTCCTTTGACTTTGACTAAAATGAGAGATAGATAAGAGATGGGTTCAATTTTTGTGGATGAATATGTTATGAAAATCAATCTGATTAAAGAAAGATTGAAAGCTGCACAAGACAGACAACAAAAGTATTACAATCAGAAGCATAGACTGGTTGAATTTCAGGTTGGCGACTTTGTGCATCTCAAAGTCAGTCCGATGAAAGGCGTCAGCAGATTTGGAAGAGTGAGCAAGCTCAGTCCAAGGTATGTCGGACCTTTTGAAATCATCGAAAGGATTAGAAATTCTACTTATAGATTGTTATTATCTGATCAGATGTGTGATATACATAACGTGTTTCACATATCCTATTTGAGAAAGTGGATATCTGATTCTGAAAAGAAACTTTCTGCTGATGATGTGGAGATTCAAAAGAATCTGCAGTACAAAGAAGAGCATGAAAAGATTTTAGCTTATGATGTGCGCAAGTTGAGAAGTAAACAGATTCATATGGTTAAGATTCAGTGGAAACATAGAACAGCAAGAGAGGCTACTTGGGAGAAGGAGTCAGATATGAGACAGTTATATTCGCATCTTTTTTGACTCAGTTTTATTTTGGAAATATCGAGGACGACATTGTTCTGAAGGTGGGGAGATTGTGAAAGCCAGTTTTCTTATTTTTCCTTCCAGGATCATCCAAGACGAAGTGGGATCATCCTGGGAAGATCAGTATAGGATCTGTGAACTCGGAGGTTCGTCCCAGGATGAAATTTGGTCCATCTGTACGAAGGTTGTCCAGAGAGCAAGTCGTACAGGAACGAATACACTTCGTCTGAATGAAGCTTATCGAGAGGGAAAATCATCATGGGACGAATATGATTCGTCGCGTACGATCTGCATGTGTATATATTGGATTGAGATATTTTTGAAGAGAGAGAAAAGCCTAGGAGAGAGAAAAACGAAGGAAAAAGAAGAAAAAAGTGGATTTTGGGTGACTTCGGTCCATTTTCGTCCGTCGTCGTAGACGAAAAAGTCGACCGACTCGAGGTAAGGCACATTCCGCCTGTTTCAATTTTCAAAAATCTAGATTTTGACGACTTTTCTGTTTCAAATTCGATTTTCGTTAGCGAAAATCTGGTATCATTTTGTTCTAGTAAACTTTTTACCGTGTAACTTTTGATATGTTCCTGAGATAATGCTTTTACATGTTTTGAGTATTTTTTGGAAGATTTTCACCCGGTATTTGAATTTTACGGAGTTTTTATCGAATTACGAATTATCTGGATGTTGAAAAATATTTCATCAGTACAATAATGAAATTATCTGGGTCAGGGAATATGGAAATAAGTTCTATTTCAAAAATTTTGTATATCTGACAAGTTCTGGTGCTGTAAGCACAAGAGAGGCATAAGGAGCCAGAATCAGTTGAGATTCTGTCTGTGTCAGGGAAGGGAGGCATAAGGGGCTAGAATCCGTTGAGATTCTATCAGGGTCCGGGAATGTGATATGTGATATCTGATATGTGTTATCTGATATGTGAAATGTGATTTTATCTGATTTGTACGATTCTATCTGTTCTGTACGATTCTGTTTGTTCTGTACGATTCTGTCTGTTCTGTGAAATCTGACTTGAATATTCTGTTATATGAAATGAATTCCATTTGTGATTTGATTTCTGTTTGACCAAGTATCTGTATTTTGTCTGTTTATACGATTTCTGCACGATTATGTGAATTATGTACGGCTACTCTTCTGATGTATTTTCTGAAGTGTATTTCTGGAGATTTTGATTGGTTAGTGCAGTCTTGCTGAGCTGTTAGCTCATCCTTATTATCTGCGTGGTTTTTAGGTTCTGGGAAAGGGAAGGAAGTCTTGGACTAGTCGTTCAGTGTCTGATCAGTGATTAGGTATTTTGCACTTTTGATTTTTGTACAGTCATGGCTTTTCTATTATGTTCTTCCTGTCTGTAGCCATGCACTGTATTGTACATGATTATTTTGATGACTGAAGAAATATAGATGAACTGTTCTGTATATTTGATGTTTATAGTAGCTCTGTGTTTTCTGTAAGTTTGATATTTGGAAGAAAGTCTGAAGCAAATTCTAAAGCTAGATCCTTGATATTTTCAATTCTGTCGCGGGCCGACGCGAAGGGATTCATTCCGGTCGGGTTGGGTCGTGATAACCTTGGCCCCAAATTCTAGTACCACCAAGTCAAGGGGAGTGCCATGTGGATGCCATAACCCTCAATTATCAGTAGCACCATATGTTATAATTGTAATCACTCAGTCCACAATCTGCCAATGAAGCGACATGTCAATTTATTAAACAGCGAATTCATGTTAGCAAGTGCCGCAGTGAAGGAAACCCTTTAGTATGGTGGTGTTAATTCATTTTATGGGCACCACGGTGCAAGTATCTCAAGTACCACGGCGCCAGAATTTATTTTCTATATTATTTTTTATAAATAGTCCATTTATAATATTAGTAGAGTATTTTAGTCACTTATTTAATTTAAGTCTTTATAGTGCTTCTCTATTTTTTCCTTAGGAGTGACAACTAAGAGAATTCAGAGAAATACTAGATACATTCCATTATAGTGATTGGCTTATATTTGTGGAAGCAATTATGTAAGTTTAAGGAGGAGTGTAGAGAAGATTATTGAACCCGTTCGATGATATCTTTTTTATGTACTTTCTTTTTTTGGTTTAATTAATAAAAATAACTTTGCTTCACTTGTTCATGTATAGTTAAATTCTCTAATTTTGGATTGATGGTGTAAATGGAATGTGGAGTACTAATGAATTATCTTCATCAATAATTTAACGATATTTTTAATATATGAGGTCTTCATTTAATATATATAGTGGCCATATATGTAGTTAATATCACGTGTAATGTGGAGCCTAGGAATATAAAAGTTGGCATAATTAGGTATATTAGATTGGTGTGATGTAAGCATAGGCATAATGCTTATCAGGTATCAAATTTATATAGATAAATTGTGAGGAGGGAGTTTTAACAATATATATATATATATATATATATATATACTTACTCTTCAAAGATTCTTATAGGGTGACAGACTATGGAAGTTTAGAGTTGTATTAAGGTTGGAATGTTTAATTTATCATTTGTCTCTTCATGCTTGACTGAGTGGTCGTGATGCATATGCTCTAAGTAAAATCAATATAAAAGAGAATAATTAAGAAACATATTGTATTTACATTCCATCAAACCAAAATAATTTATCCAAATAGTGTTTCATTTAACTATTTTTTATTTTAAATTAAGTGATTGAATCTCCACAAAAACTTATTTTTATTAAGTAGGATAATTTTTATAGTTGAAGTAGATAATACTAGTATTTGCATGCAAACATTCTTCCTTATGTGATCGATACTCTACTCCATCACTATATTATTTGATTTGGCATGTATAATTGTGTATATTAAGTGGAGTTTTTATAATTTTTATATCAAATAAAATCTAAGCATTTTTTAGGGATTGATAGTTTCCTAAATTTTTTTCACAATTTTTAGATTACTCCACCTCCCTCATTAAGTAGTAAAACTCAAAAGCTTGACGGATAAAGGTAAGGAGTCTAAAAAAACAAATGTACATAACTAGATCAACTCAATTAGTTGTATTCTATTTATGTTTGGATCGGACATTAACAACTTAGTGTATTCTATTTATGTTTGGATCGGACATTAACAAATAAAATCTAAGTATTGATTAAATTCATTTGTATATATGAATCTCTACCATAAGAAATATGATATACGTACAAGTTATCTATCATTGAGTGAGAAAGACCTCCACAAGCATTAAACTAGTTATTTTTTAAAAATAAAACTTGCAGAGGGGTAACTCGATAACTAAGAGAATATTACAAGTGTTATGGAACAACCAACTCTCTAAAATAACAAACTTTGAAGAAAACCTACTAGCCGACGTTTTACCTATTACAAGAGAAGCAAAAGAAAATAAGGCAACAAAACAAAGCTACCACAACACCAAAAAAAACCCAAATTTTTCAGCCACGTGAGCCACCCAAAACACTACCAGAGGAGACACAAAGGTCCTAGCAACAACTAATATGACAAAAGTCACGAATCAAAACAAATGCTACCACCCAAAAGGACTCAGTATGGCAATCCTGCACCCACCAAGTAGCAAAGAAATGATCTTCCATTGGCAGTTGAAAGCCACACCAACCAAATGAAATTCTGAGCACTAAGAAAACCACACCAACCACCAAGGTTGCCAACTCAAGGCCAAACTAGGGATAAGCAGAATTGCCTCGTCATAGTCCATAAATCAACAAAAAAGCCAAACCATTCACAACACGACTCACATTTTTTTCTTAGATTTACTTTTAGATCTTTTCCCAGCACCAGTTGAACAAGCATGATCAACTACTTTACAAAACACAAAATTATGCATATCTTGTGAATATTGAAATTCATTTTCAATCTCATCAACATCGCCATCGAACACATTCAACCAATCAGAATGATCCACACATGATTTACTCAACTCCAGATGGGCTTTCAACTCCGCATTAAACACAACCACAATAGGAATATCAACATTAGTTTTCGACACAGCCAAGTTAACTGAAGGACGACCTGCATCCTCGATCATAGAATCCAAACTAAATTCTTCCTCATTATAAACATCAGCAATGATAGGAGAAGTAAACTGGGTAGGGGGTGATGGGATAGGTACATGGCTCACCAAGAAAATAGGGCTCATGCCACCCATAATATAATTGATTCCCACATTCCCCAAATTATTATAATTTCCCTCCTTAGGATAACTAGAAATCGCAATGGCTACGAGAATCCAATCATCACCATCGACCATAGTCCCAGAAAATAAAACAACAGGGCCCGTAGAGGCTAAAGCCACAGGTCTAACATCATAGCCAACACCCAAAAGAGCATTAGATTCCACCGGAAGGCAAACATCCACCCCAGCCTCCTCCTCATTAACAACCAATGAAGAAACCACCATAACATTACTATTAGGAACAACAGATGGAGTCACTGGCAGCACAACAGTAGGAAGATTTTAATCAAGATCAGCAACCACAGGGGAAACGACTCCATTAGCCGCCCCCTCCACAGGCATAACAGAAGAAACATTAGGAATAACCACATTAACCCTAGCCAACTCACACGGGATAAAAGAGGGGGTAGCCTCGCTAAGGACAGGAAGGGGTTTAGCAACAGGATTAAGCTAAGGATGTAAAATTATGCATTCATCTTTCAAATGACCTAAAGAATTACAATGCACATAATAATGAGGGAGATCATCAAAAATCATTGACTAAATATAACCGAAATTAGCCAAACCCACCCAAATCTTATCCGATAATTTTTTGGTGACATTTAACTCAGCAAGGATGCAAGCAACAGATGGACGGGAACCAGAAGCCGTCGTAGTATCTGTTTTTAAAGTCCTCCTGAACAAGGAACCCAATCCAAAGAGGATTCGAGGGGAAAAAAGATGGGGCCGAATGTAAGGAAACAAAATTCATATGGGAATGATAGACGAATCAACCTTAATGTCCAAAGTCTGTGTCCATTTCACAAC